CTTGGGTCTTTGGCATTTGGAGATCTCAGAGATTCCACGCTGATGTCGAACGTGTCTGTTCTCTCGGCCACAAGCCCAACCAAAAACGCTCCACGGGCGCCACTGGCGAGCGCCTGGCCGGTTCGCAACCATAGCACGCCAGGATCCTTGGATTCGCCAATCTCCAAAACGAGAGGAAAGACTCCGAGACGCTTTGAACATCTTCTACACCATTTCAGGACACATCCAACTGAGTTCTGTAACACTGCAGTGTATATTTACGCAATTGTGCCTAGGAGGTGAACGTGCACTTTCTTCCTGCAAGCATGCAGAGTGAGGTTGCTGTTGCTGTTGCTGTTGCTGCTGCTGCTGCTGCTGCTGTTGTTGTTGTTGTTGTTTGCTGTTCTTGTTTGCTGTTCTTGTTGTTCTGCTGGTCTTTTCTGCCTCCAAGTGCCAAGGCTGGTCAAGCCACTCCAAAACGACCAGCGGTTTTGTGGGGCAACTGACTGAATATCGACTGCACCGGTGTTGAGCAAGATGTGATAAGGACTGTCTCCGAAGCCAGGACATGCTGCTACACCCGTTTCCTGGTCAGGTCAGTCCATGACCTGTGGGTCAAGTGCATCTCCCAGTCTTCTCGAGGCGAGTCTATTCTGCCCAGGATCGGATTCGTCCGTTTTGGCTTCCAGGACTCGAAACTCTTCCCCTGCGACGCACAGACGCGATCCGAGGCGATCTGAGGCAAGATGCGGCGAGTCGAACGCGGCCGTGGGGCTTCAAGTCATGGATTTCTCCAGGACCCAAGGACTCTGTTGAAACCAATCATCACTCTCCCAGAGTTCTCACTTCTGGTGCATGGACCCGAACTTTGAGGCCCAAACGCAGGCCGTGACGGTCGACCGTCCCCACACAGGTCATTGTTTCACCCCCATTCGATGGGTCCGGTTCGCAGTGCGTCCGCAGAAGCGTCCGGCTCCCGCGGGAACCGTCGGGTTCCGCCGGACTGCCATATTTGCAGGGTGGTGTCATGGCTGCTTTCATCCCTGTTTCTCTTCCTCCGGTTCAAAACCTCCACTTCACTCCCTCGCGCAGCTTTCACCCTCCCGGAGCTTCACACGCTTGTTGTCCAAAAAAACGTGGAGTCGCTTGGTCGCAGGGCGGTTCCGTCCGTCCGCCCGGTGGCCTTCTTGGATCTCGTAGGTCGGAGTCACCAAATCCGCGAACCTCGGTGCCGAACAGGAGTGCTTCGCTCGGTGGTTGAAAGGGTCGGAACGAACGGGAGGCGGATTTGGAGCCGGAGGGAGGAACTCGGTGGTTGCCGGCGGTCTTTTGGGAAGTCTGGGGTGGAAAGATCTGATAGGGGGGTTGTTGGAAGATCGATGATCTATTATGTTCAATGAGGATATCATTCAGCGGATATGATGATTGAGGCCGTTGATATCCATATTTCTTTGGACGTACATCTGTCCTGTGGAAAGAAACCATTGATGCAAAACACAACAAACACATACGAACGCCAAAGAAAGAAACGGAAGTCCCTTCGGGAGAACACCATAGCAACGTTTACCTCACGGAGCTAACAAGGACCACAATGGCGAACCCACACGTCTCCCTTTTCACAAACCACTGTTATAAGGTGGAAAATGGTGGAAAGTGGAAAGCCACTTTACGGCAACCAGCAAAATCTGCCTGAGTTGTCACCAACCCGGAATCCGGGGGGCCTGATTATGAAGAACCTTTTCATTAATGTGATCTCTTGAACAAAGAAATCGTATCATCGTTTGTGAGGTTGCGAATGACTTGGACATACTCAACCAATGGCTGATGCGGAGCTTGGGAAAATGCTGGGCACTAGCATGACCTTGCTCTGACCGTGCTCACCTGGGCACTTGCTCACCACTTACATCACCAGGTGTTCCACACCTTTGGGCACCAATGTCATCAATAGCTTCATCAAACCAAGTACCCAACGACACCGTGGTGATCTATAGATCGAGTACCATGCTCTGACCGTGCAATGTTGATGATGGATTTAGGTTGTGTCCCACTGTAACAATAGCGTCATCAATAGCTCCAACAGAACCTAGCTACCTTCAAACACCAACCCAAAGTTGCACACTCCCTGGAATAATTTCCTCTGCAAACAGGTGGTTTTCCACTTCCTTTTTTATTTCAGGGATTGTAAATCATTTTACTTAAACTCACAAGCGGTGGAGAAACAACCGTTAGGGTGTGAATGGGTTGGATCTCCCTGCATCTCAACACGCATCAAACTCTGTGCTAAAGAAGACACTCGGATCTACGTGATCGTTCTGTGTTGAGATGGGGGTCCAGCTGCCAAATCAGCCAAATCCGATGTTCGAATTCACCGTCTTCGTTCGCTCCAGCCGTTCTCCTTCGGCTGTTCTGCTCCAAAACTCTGGAGCTCACGAACCCGCACTTGGTTCCCCCGTGTCACACTTGGTTCCGCTGAGGGTGTGAAACGGGGTGTCCGATCAAAACCTGAAGCCCACGCTCTCATTGCACCCTGCTAGTAGTCTATTCTGGTCATGTTGGGGAACAACCCAAGGTCCCCCTGTCTTGACCCATACTTTTCTCTCTCAAGCAACTCTTCTTCCCATGGCACCGCGTCGTCCACCGCTGAGCTGCTGACTTGTGTGGCGCCACCCTCAGGCGGATTTTGGTCAAGGCCTTGAGTTCCCGTGCGATGAAGGCGATGAAGCGATGAGGACAAGGACTCCTGTATATGTCTTAGCTTTCCCTACATGGTGCTGCTTTTTCGAACCCGGAAATGACCCCCTGCCTGCAAAGAACAGGCCAAAGCCGAGAAGGTTCCAACTGTTCAGGTTCTATATGCCATGATATGCCACGTGATTCTCAATATACTCTATTCCCTTTCCCCTTCGTTACCACTTGGAATGTCCGTCATTCCCACTCTGATTTCGCAATGGCTCATCGTCCCGTCGACTCGGACCGCTCCCGCTGCTCCGCGGAGCAGCCGTGGGGCGGTCCCCGGTCCCCGGTCCATGGTCCGCGCCTTGTACCGGGCAGGGGCCGCCGGTGGCCTCAAGGGCCCCGGCAGATCGAAGATGGGCTTCTCGTAGTCCTCCGCACGCGAGGGAGACCGGGTCGGACCGCCGAGGCCGTCGAGTGCGGGTGCGGAGGATGGAGGAGGTGACTCGTGGGTCGGCAGATGGATGGAAGGGGGGTTCACCCATGGAGGGTTTGGGCAGATGCGCAAGGAAACAGAGAAGGAATCAAGAAGGAATCATTAGGTCGGAGCATGGTGGTGACTCACAGGTGTTGTTTCTTCTTTTGAAGGGGAAGTGACTCATCATGTCATCCATTTTTGGTGGCATTGTGGTTGCAAGTCTTGCATTAGATCATCTCATTTTCAGGTCACCTTGTTTCCATCGTTTGGGGGGGATCATCTTTTTTTTGATTCATCATCAATCTATTTGATCGTAGTATTGAAGATCATCTGAGGCGCTTGCGCCTCAAACCATTTAAGGTCGGACGCACTAGTTATGAAGGACCATTACTCTAAATGACCATATACGGACCACAAGAGGTTTGTAAGATATATCCATTGCTCTTTTGTAGTTGTTTGCTGGACTGAAACTTCTGTGCTCTACACCTGGTTATCTGGGGAGCTTGGATGAAGATTTACCGAGGCCTCTCCCCCGAGACTTCAGTGATTGACCCGAGAGATCGAGCTCTCGGGTCACATCGAGAGTGGCCAACATCCAACAGGAGTATGGGATAGTATGGGTGGCAGTGTGGCACCGTCCAATTTGGGGAACGTCACACAACACCCAACAGACTGAAACACTGGATCATCAAAGGATTCATCAGCACAGAGGCTGAAGCTTCCTTCTTCCTCTGCCAGTGTCCCTTTGCTTCCAGCCACCGAAACCCTGAAAAAAGAAAACAACTCCAATGAGTCACGCCCCAACCTGCAGCTTCTTCGCTTGTTCATGCTTTTGTCGGCTTCATAAAGGTGACATTCGCTTCATCTTGACATCGCTTCGATCGCTTCGATCGCCCCACTCACGCACCCCGCCCTCCTTGTCGGTGTTGGCTTGTACCTAGATGGCCGTGCTAACTTGGCAGCCAGTGGCGGAGCAGTTGAGGGCTCAATGCCCCATGAACGCAAAAGAAACGGCAATGTGAACATGCATAGGTGTGTTTTGGGGCGTGCCCAATGGATCCTACGTAATTTGGAAGGATAAACATGGATACATCTTGGATAAACAATGAATTCTTGAACTTCTTGGATTTGGGAGTAGCTAGCATTCGCCCTACTGCAAACCTGCCGATCGAAGTTCTGTGACCGACCATGGCCAGGCTTGCCTGGGTCGCTTCGATTTCCAAGTCTTGCCCGATCTGATTGACCTAGACGGTCATATTGGCCTGGGTCAGATTTCCCTCAGAGTCCAGGGTCCTACTTTGTACAGTAAGGGTCCATGGACTCTGAGGATTTGGTGTTTACATGTTGTTTACCTTCGAAAAACCGTGAAAACCGCATCCTGGCCATCGTCCTGCGAGGTCCGTTCGTCGTCCTTTTTTCCGGCGAGGTGTCTCCAGTCGCATCGACGACCGGAAGAGCAGTCAGCAGTGGTATTGCTGGTACTCAAAACATCCCCATAGCACTTTCCTTCAGTGCTGGTGGCAACAAACGTGGCAAGTTCGCAAACGGAGGCTGAGTAAAAGGTGCAAAAGATGCGAAAGGAAGACCGTCAGGAAGGCCTCCAAACGCCCCTTTGACGCGCGAAACAGTTGAAACACTTCAGCCCCTTTTGAACTGATGCTCATTTCAAACCAACCATGGAACAACAGCACAACATTGTGTTTCTGTAATTTGATCTGCAAAATATCAGGTTCCAGACTCCTTCAGGAATACTGAATACTGATGTCAAAATTGAGACTGTCGGGTTAGCCGAGCAGCTTCGGCACTCTGGACATGTCGTGGCCATCGAGCACCAGCGAAAAAAAAACAAACAGATTGTAATGTGCATATTGGCGTCTTGCTGAACTTGAAGGGTGAGTTTTAAATGACTTTGATGTCCTGAGTCTTTGATGTCCTGAGTCTTCGATGGAAGGACTTCCTTCGCGGCACTCTCTGGCAGGACGGCCATCTAAACTCCAGTCGCCGTTCCTGCTCGTCTGGGAAATCAAAGAAAGACCTAGAGCTTGGAGAAGGGGCCTGCGACAAGCACATCGATCGAACAAAGGCCTCCGTGGTCGATCGAATCAGGACCCAGGGGGAATGAAGAGCACTTGATGCCAATACACCCAACATACCGGCATACCAGTAGCTGTATCAAGATGGAATTTACTGTGCTCCACTTCCTTCTGAAATGTCCTCCAATAATCAACGTTGCTATGTTATAGTTGAATCAGATCTTCACTCTCGTACAAGTACATGGGTGTTCTGTCTGTGACTCCAGAAATATCTATCTATAGTCTATAGATGTTGCCTTCACCATGGTCACCATGGATCCAAAAGGACTCAACAAAATCCATCCGTTCCCATCCTTCACAAGATCTTCTCATGTTCCGGAAGGGTCGACCAACGACCATGTTGACGACATGTGGCGACCCAACGAGGGACGACCACGACCTCATGAGGTGTTCCTTTCAATGTTCACCAGGTTGACCAATCATGTCCAAAAACAGATCTGGAGGCTCTTGGTCAACTTGAAGTGGACCAGTGTGGCCATGTGCATCATAAAATCCAAAAATAAATTATCGATCATCAAACTTAGCACGTTATAAATTGATTGTGCTTATCTACCTGATAATCTACCTTCAACTACTGGGCCTGGCCAAACAGGTCTCCAAACGAATAATTCAGTGGCTGAAATGGAAAGGAACAGCTGGCACCCAATCGCCTGTGTTTGTTCCAACAGCTCCCTTCTTCTGCCGACATGGGCGTAACGGGCCGCCCGGAATTCGGATGAGATCCCGAAGTAACTTATATGTACGTTAAGTATTGTCACGGTCACAAAGACTCCAGAAAGAGGTTACAAAGACTCCAGTGTGGCATGGTCACAACTTCTTGCACCCTTGAACATGAACACTTCTTGCACCCTGCCGTTCAGGTCGTGTGGATGTACTTATCGGACCGAAACTAAAAGGTGCCTCACCACTCGACCCCCGACGCTCCTGGCGCCGAGTTGTTCTTCCGGAAGTCCTAGCGGGTCTGGTGTGATCCAACTGGTCTGAGTTCGACGGAGCCGAAGAAAAAGCATAGAGGATTGAGGGACAAATCTAGGGGAAGCCCATGGTTTTGGAGGTGATCACCATGGTTTCCTGTAGATATTCTCATAAAATCCTATGAATTTGTGCAAAGACGTCAGCCACACGTGAGAGATGCCAGCGGTGAGGTCATCACTTCTAAGTTGATCATGTTATGTTGTATAAATCATTATGAATCACATAAAATCACCATAGACACTTGCTAGCTTCACTGAACCCAACCTCAGGCATATCTCCAAGTCGGGGAATTCACAGTCCAAGAGTGGGAAAAGGTAGTGTTTCACGTCCCTCATCTCACCCCCCACCCAAAACCACCAAAACATCCCCCCAAAACGAAATCGCCCGTCCTTAAGCACCACGTCGATGAGGGTTTGTCCTGGGAAGACTTTGGTGCCTTGCTTCTGGGCGCAAGCTTCCAAGAGTTTGGAAGGCTCGAAGTAGTCGATCGGCAGGTAGTGCCTGGGAGAGGCTAACATTTAGAAAGACTAAGCCAACGGAAAGGAGTGGGCGGATGAGGAGCAATTGAAGAGTTCGAGACCCCTAATGATGTTGTTTCTTAGTCTTGCGACATTGTGAATCCCGGAAAATCCCACAACGATTCTCCACCTAGTAGTTTCTAGTTACTAGAAAGCTTCTTGTTCCTAGTAGTAATGCCAGGAGCTACGTTCGTAGCTTCTTGCTCCCAGCGATGCCCTTTGTTACTAGTGACTGGTCTAGTTGGAGCTTGAGCTGTGGGATTCCGCCACTGACTCAGTGGCTGAGAACATCTCGCATTTCCTGTACTTTCGGGTCATCGCTGGGCCAAGCACGCGGCTTAACCATGAAAAAACACTGCAGTGACACCACACCAGGAGCTCTTGGATAGGCTGGTGCTGGTTGGTGAGAAACTCTCTCCCATGGCACCTGGGAAGACCTCCCAAGACAGTCCAAGCGGCGGATTCTTGGTGAATCGCTCCTTGGCCTGTCAGGTTCTGTGGAAAAGCGGGGTTGGCAGTTGAAGCAATGTGTTCAAGCCAGTTTAGTGGTCACATGTTGTCACACACCCTTCCAAGGGCCGAACACCTGTATCGTATACATTGTACAGGGTGCAAACTCTCAACAATTGTGTGTCGAGCCGGTCCTTGGTATTCCTTGGATCTGCTATCGATTATTCAATAGACATGCTTCAACGAGTGGTTGGGAATTTGATGGAGGCTCCTGGCAGAAACTAAAAGGATCCCCATATGCCACCGATCAGCCTGTGCCCCATAGACCTTCAGTCGCTCCAGGATCCTCAGGTGGGAATGCGTGGGAAAGGTGAGCAAGAAACAAACCAATGGTGTGGGCTATTGAGAAACGATGGCCTCCAACCTAAGAGCGATGGCCTCAAACCTAAGAGCGCCTAAGAGCGATGGCCTCCAAGCTAAGAGCGATGGCCTCCGACCTAAGACCAAACACATAATAGAGCTTCAGCACTCCAATAATTACTATACATTACTATATACATCTGATATACACCACCATCAAGAAAAAACACTAACTTAGACACCAACAGGAGAACCTCCTTGCCCTGCAATGCCCTGCAGCGTACACGGAAAGCCCACGCCATCGCTACAACCAAAGCTCTTCTGGAAGCCCACGTAGTTCTCCGCGAAGAACATGGGTCCTCCCTTGCTGGGTGGAAAGCCATAGCCTCGGTGCTGGGAGAAGTGGTGTGGTGTCTCACCTAACATGGACCTGGCCAACATGTAACATGGACCTGGTTGGACCTGCTGTGCTTGGCAATCGTCCCATTTTGGGGCAGAATTCCAACATCATTCAACCTGATCCTCCTCCAATCGCTCAAGTGACCGCTTGCCTCGTCCAAACTGAAAAAAGAGTGCGCCTCCCCGACCGGTTTGCTTGCCTCCTCGGTCGATTCCCTCCCTCAGTCGGTCCATCAGTCCGACCAAGGCACCGTAGATGTAGACAATGTCGATGTCCGAAGACCGAGCGACGTAGCCTTCCTGTCCGAGGGCGAGGCCGGAACTCACAAGGGCCAAGCTATGCCCAACGTTCTGCCTGGAACTTCCAAGCTACGTGTGTGTGTGTGTGTGTGTGTTGCCTTTTTGTTTGGGGGAACTGCGGCGTGAAAACCAGGAGGTTGTAGGTATATAAACGCATCACATGTGTTTGTGTGTGTGGCTGTCTGTGTGTTCACGAATAAATAGGAAAAGCCATGAAAAGCCCAATATAGAACAAATATGAACAAAATTGAACAAATAACAATAGCAACCAACGGCATGGGTCACCCACGCAGGGCTCGACCCTCCTGAAAACGTCTGTACTACTCATTCACCACAGGCTGCGTCGCGTGCCTCACTCGTGTTTCTTGTTACAAACTGCGTTCGTCACGAACCTCCAGAATCTTGAAGCCCTCGTTGATCATCGTGAAGAAGAGCCGTTCCACGATCTCTTCGTCCGACACGGCCCGCGCAGTGATGCCCTTGGTCTTGCGAATCTCCTGGCGGACGGGTGGACCCGGCGCGACTGAGGTGAGATGCTTTGGAAGGCCAGGGCGACTGCGAGCACCGAAAAGGAGTGCGACATGGCTATGACCCACGGTCCCACCAAAACAACAGATCATCTTATACTGGGACCAATGGACTACCCTCCACTACTTAGGGATCTCCATTGGACATCCATTGGATGGTCCAGGTACGTACTCAACTTTGTATATATCTTCAATGCCCTGAGTTCTCAAAAGCAGCAAGTATAGATCGTGGTCCCGTCCCTCGTGGTCAGCAGGGACGGGTGACTAGTATCTCAGTTCTTAGCCATTGTGAAATTCAAGATAGAATCATTCAAAGATAAACATCTTCAAACTCACCCATTGACTTCGCATCCATCCTCTACAAATCCACATACACAGGAAGTGAATCGCATCTCGCGTGACTTCGACGCTGTGGGCCGGAAATCTCTCGTGTGTCCTCCATCTTGGCCACGACCTCGGGGTCCACGTACTTGTCGCGTCCCTGATGGATGAAGACTCCGCGGCCGTTCGCCTGCCGGTGTGAGTCTTGAGTTGCCACGTGGCTATTGGGGGGGTACGTGCAAAGTCTCGAAAAGCGATGATATGGAGGAAACAAAAAGTTGAAACAGGTGCATTGTGTCATTCAGAAAAGTGTGACGTTAAATTGAAACAGGCATACATCTTGCATCATCATCTTGCATCATCTTGTCATTTAGAAAGTTCACATGGCAGTTGTTTCCCTTGCTCGTGTCTTTAGGGCACCAATATATACCTGAGTGCAAAATGAAAAAAACTAAACTGCATGCAATGGACGGTCACAAAAGAGTGACATGCAGTTTCACTCCCCAAGCCAGCCCAGGGAGAACTTGCATGAACTTGATCACATTCAACACCCTCATGGATGATGAGTCTTTTCAGAACGCCCAAGCAGCAAGCAATTCTGTTCATGTTGGTGTGTTGGTTTAAAGACTTGACCGGGCAAGCTGGACCTCTTGGGGTGATGTTGCTGCATGAACACGCACGACAAACTGGTTCAGCTCATGCGGCGCCAATGACACTCCCTGGAACATGGCCCGCGTGGCCCCGAACTCGTTCGGAAGACCATGAAATCCGAACACCAAACAGAGGGTTTTCCCATGGTGAACTCCACTGGCATGTGAGTTCCAAGGGGTTTTCCATCGTGGGGCCCCGCGGCCCACGGGATGCGCCGTGCCATCGCCCTCGCCCACGCGGCCGGTACGTACGCCGCGCCTTGATGCTGGGATCGGGTGTCTTCAAGCCAAAGCGGCCCTTCTCGCACAGCCAGTCAGTCAGCTCATAGGGACCTAATGCTGGATGTTTCTGGAAAAGACGGTGAGTTGTGTGTGAGTTCCTCGACCACGAGTCCCAGAGAAGCTCTTGGACAGAAACTTATACGTATAATGTTGATGGTTCATGGACCATCAAACGCATCTGGAAGACAGGCATGTCACGCAATTACGGTCCGTGTGGGTCCCTGTGGCGTCCCCTAGGCGGAAGAAATGGATTGGAATTAGTCTCTTCGAACTTTTTGGGTGCGCATTGTAATAGGGAGACCTCCGTTTGGCCCCCCCGGAAGAAAGAAAATAGACCACAACATACCACAACTTATTGTCGGGGGGGCCCTATTAAAATACAAACCCATTTGCCACTATTGCAACCAATTGCTATGCAACACGGTTGAATCAACATATGCGCCCTGTGGAATGCGATGTCAGAGGGTGGATATACAAACAACATACTGTAGGAGTGGAACATGGACACCTCTCGGTGGCGTAGCTACCTGGACATTGGTACACACACCTCTTTTGTTGAGCACAAAGGGAGATTTCATAAAGTAAGAAACAAATTGTTCCCATCAAATTCTAGTAGCAAGGACGCTACTAGTGGCTCCTGGCCTTACGACTAGGAGCAAGAAGCTACTAGGGACAAGGACATCGCTACTAGGAGTAAGCACGCTAACTACTATTAGCGCTTTGCTACGAGTAGTAATTAAGGAGGAAGCTTCAGTCTTCTACCTGCACTGCTCACCGTGGTTTCGACTCTATACGTGATATTCCGGAGAATCATTTCTTCCGCGCAGGGTGCAGAATGCTAGGAAGGGGAAACGACCTGGATAATGAGAAAACAAGCCTGGAATTCTTAGAACCATGATTAACTATGAACCCTTGGGAATTCAGCACCATTCAAGCACTAACTGATATATAGTCATAGTAAGCATGTTGCTCCATGTCAATGTAGCCACATATTGGCGGCATCTGAGTGGTGGCGAGCCGCCGTAGTAAGTCTTGGTCTGCTTCTTCATGTCGCCAGCAGCTTGGCGCTGCCTCAGGACAACTCATAGGACAAGAACTCAAAGGACTACAGGCGAGCCACAGGACTACTGTAGGTGTTCCAGTAGCATCCAGTAGCTGTTGGTTTGGACTTGGCAGTCACAGCGCAGGTATCCGCAGCTATCCGCAGGTGCTCTTGAAAATGTTCTGATGGATCAAGAACTCTCGAGTCGGATCAAGAACAGGGCCGCATGCAGACGGCCAGACGGCAGAAATCCAGGAGTTGAGGTGAAACCCTCTCCGCCAGGAAAACGCATCAAAAGGTCTCGATTTTTTCCGATGACCTGCATGCTTTGGCTTGGCTCGATGTTTTGCCAGGGGCCTCCCAAAGCTGTAAGAAGGAAGTTGAGAACACCTGTTTGTAGAGGAACGTGGTGATCCAAAAAGCCATGCCATCCACGGGTAAACCGATTTGTCCTCAAGGCTTTCAGCTTCATGGTTGGACCAAGTATTCCATTGCACCACCGTAGCACAATGGCACAACCCTCAACTGCTGGGTTCAAGCTACATACTAGGGCTCTGCCATCATCTTTTGCCTCTGTCAAAGGTGTTACTTTTCTCAACCCTTTCACCCCCTCTCCAAGTGAAAAACTGGTTGTTTCTCGACTCCGAAGCCTTGGACAGGGTTGTTCTCGACTAGCGAGCACCGACAGTCGGACTCTCTGGCCGATTCCCCTTCCCCAGGTCCGCCGGTCCGCCCGTTTGCCTCTTCGAATCCGACCGTCTCTCAACTGTCCCGACCCTGCGCCAGCTCTCCGTGCACCCCCCTCAAACAGAACAGCAGAGCTCGCAGAGCTCAGGGTCAGTGGAATTCTTCGCGTGAACCAAACCCAAACCTCTTCCGGAACCGGGCACAAGAGTTTCCCGGCGTTCTTCTCCGCCCGAGGAGCTTCCAGAAGAGTTCCAAGCCAACGAGGTCTCCCAATGCCATCGGTCCCATGGCCATGCCGAACTTGGTGCAGGCCTCAAGCCCACCGATTTAACCGAGACAGTTAATGTTTGTCCAGAAGGGAGAAGGAAAAAATGGGGATGGGTCGTGACCCACCAACTGGTTCACCATGTAGCGAACGGCCTCCCACATAGGTTCACCAAGTTATCCTGGTGCAATGACCCACAGCGAAATAGGGAAATGATGTTGGGATCCAGGTCATGAATGCATATGAATGCAAGGGCCTTGAGGAGACGCTTGAGGGGACGGCAAACAAAACTCAATGTCTTGGGTTTTATTGGGCTCACAAAGAACTCTCCACCGTCAGAATCCTCTTGTTGCTGAACATGGTTTTTGCAGCACACAATCCTCTAGTTGTTTCTTTCAAGGCAATCTGGAGTGACTAGGTTATGTATATGATGAATGTTTTGGCTGGCCCCTTCTGTCTCGGATAGAGACCTTGGCAGAGTTCTTTCAACAAAGTGCAGAACAAGATGACAACAATAAACACGCTGGAGAATTATACTTATATAACAATAAGGACTTGGCTTTGCCTTGTTTTCTTGTGTCTTGTGTCCACGCCGTGTTCATGTGTGGCCAGGCGGGCCATGCTTCGCCATGCTTCGCCATGCTTTGGCCCATCTGCCCGCCTTGTCGATCTGCTCAATGGTGGCACCCTCCTCGCCCACCATCTTGGCCTCACCTGCGTAAGGTGCCAGCATCCGGTTCCCCACGAAGCCATCGCCTCGGCAACGAAAGCAAAAGAACAGTTCCTGCTACGAACGGACGAGCCAGGCGAAAGAGGACGTCATACGAGCCAGGTCTATAAAGAACAACCTGAGATTGAAAAAAAGAACATGCATGTATGATTTATGTGATTCAAACATACTTTTTGAGATTCCAGGTGCTTTGTTGGTGATCCCATAGATATACCCCCAAAAAACTTGTGGATCAGTCTTTGGTTGTGAACATCTATCTTTTGCCGTGAATAGTCTTTGCCAAGAATGGTTCTCAGGGGTTTTGAAGGGTCAGTACGCACATGTATACCTTTTACAGTCTCATATTCTTAGTGACTTAGTGTTTATAATTAGTGTGATCTTGCATCTATTTGGAGGCTACTATATTACTATATTGTTGGTTGGACAAAGACCTGCAACACAAGCGTTGTTTCGTGTTTCGTTTGGGAAGTGATTCACAGCGTGCATGTTTGCTGACCTTTGTGCCGTGGTCCGTGGTGAGTCATTGCCCAAGGCGAGGATCTTTGGACCGATGCTTCAAGCACATCTTTACAAATCAACGAACAGATATAAAGAGGATCTAGAATCTGGAAAGTAACATGCGATGGACACCCATTGGTAACAACTGTATGTGCAAATGCCGACCATGCGGGGCACAAAAGCATTCTCGACAAGTGGCAGTTGCCCACCATCACTGCCTTCTTGCTGATGATCTTGGCCATCTGCATGCCAGTGGACAAGGTCTTAATGGAAGACTTGCCTCACACGGGCCAAAGCGCGGGTTAAACAGTCCAAGGCCAAACCACCGAATACACAGGAACAAAAGCACAAAAGAATACATTACAATCATTGGATAGCATCGCCTCAGAAGACAGACCTTTCCTCTACCAAACAGGAGGAAGTGTTTCACTTCCATGTTGGGTCAATCCTATTAGCAGACTCCCGGTGAATGATGATGATGATGATGATGATGATGATGATGACGATGATGGTTTAGTTGCAGGCCTTGTTCAAAAAGAGTGAGTGATTTGATGCACATTTGCAGGTCCTGTTGCAGGTCCAGCTCGGACAGATCCACTTCTTCCATGTAATCAGACGACCGGAAGACCCTCGGGCGTTCTCACGCTCGACAACACCTTCACAGGCCCGGTGGCTGGTGCGCACGTTCTCCAAGAGCTGCATGACGTTGGCCGGAGAGAAGAAGTGGGTTCCCATCACCTCGGTTTAACACAATTCGAGCTGGGCAGTGGTGATCGGAGATGTGGAGGAGAGGGAGAACATGCAAACTTAGAGGAGGATTCAGATGGACTCAGGAGATAGGTCCTGAGGCTGGAAGCTGAAAACTATGCTTTACATTAGCCTAAAGCCTGAAGCTTGACTACCGCAAGGCCTCAAGCCTTAAAGAAGAGACGTCAACCAAACATCACCCTATCACTGTATCCACTTGAGGCCGGCAAAGTCCCACACCAAAAGACCCAAGTGGAGGCAGGCCCGAGAATCTGTGTCCTAGGTATGTCCTAGGTGTCCTAGCTATTCCTGTGTGCACTCCACGAACCCGAGGATGCAATGCTTAAAACACCAGGACTTTAGGAAGATAACTTTCCTTCATTGAACAGCAACTAAGGCTAGTTGCTAATGAATCCATAGTTCCCATGTCCACCGGAATTGCAGGGCCCAACTATTTGAACCCCAAAACGATCGTGAACTAGTCCACCATATGGACCCCTTCCTCGATATCTACGTAGAGGAGCATGTTCACACACGAGCCTACACAAAAATAAACAGCACCACCTGGTCACCTTGGACTGGATTAGGGAACCTGGAAAAAAAAAAAACATAAATGATTCCCCAGCAGATTCAACATCTACCCATAAGGAAAAATGAACCAATTATATACCTTGAGCAAACCCAGGCCACACACCGCCCCGGTACGGTCCCGCGGTCCGGCGGACCCGGTCCCCACCGTACCGTCCCAAGGCACACGGCTGGGATCCTTAAGGACCGCTGCGATGTCATCGATGTTCAAGCCGCTGGTGTTGGTGCAAATGAGGCAGTCGGGCTTGGTGTTCTTCCTGGTCCCAGCGGCAGGTCGGCACGGACCTCGTGACCCGACCCCTAGGTCCGACCCAGCTGGGATGAATTGGTGGGGGGGGGCATCTGGCTGGGGCCAGGTTCACCAAACAAGAAGCACGATGCAGCATGACGGTTTCCGGGGAAGTAGAATTGATGTGCTGATGCTTGCAGATTACTTAACATATCGTAACATATTACAACGCCTTCCCCAGGTGCTGCGGGCCCTACAGCAGATTGATCATGCTAGTCGACAAACAATGATCCAACAAATCAATGTCAAACATGGTCAAAGAAACTGATCACATGGTCGTTCATCCCAACAAAGTGAGGTTCAGATCTGAAGCGTTCTCTTCCTCGACTTGAAAAAGGCCCACCGCTTGACCTTCACACGTCCTCTTGAAACATCTTGAAACTGGAAAGGTTAACATGGAATCCGAACCTCCCTAGGTCTTTAGCCTTTTTTGATTTGTGGCAAAACGTCTTCCCAAAAACCTCTCTTTAGGATCTTTAGGTTACATGAGGCTCTCTTCGCGTTGGCCTCTGTAACTGACCACTATATGATGCTATGTTGTCTAAAAATTATTTGGATATCTTTGGCATTTGAGCCACGAGTTTCCAAAGGGGTATAGATCTCAGCGTCAACGTACCATGGAAATCGCTTACCGTTTGCTTACCTGCTTGGCGGGATTTTCCATGCTCCAGTGGACTTGCATGCGTTCGGCATCTGGATAATATGGTGTCTTTGCTGACGGTCTAGGTATGTCTAGGTGGTCTTCTTCGCGGTGGTCTGGGCTGTACCTTGCATGACGCTCCGAGTGGCTCGATGTCCAAGAAGCATTGCTTCCTCGGTGACTGGTCACAGCTGGAGGTGCTTCTTCCAACAAGTCTAGTCCAATCAGCCCATTTGCATGAATATTTGACTGCTCTTGGATGCTCTTGGTATATACTATACAGATCACTTGGATTACTGAGTCAATCAATCACTTACTTCGGTGAGGCCCAATCTGTTTGTTGCTGAAAGCTCCCCAACGATGATATCAGCAAACTCTCAAAAACGTCGCTCCGTCACCGCTGCCATCCGACATTCAATCGTCGAACACCGATGAAAAGGAGGAACCAAATCAATCCAAATCAATGAAATTAATGAATCATAAAGACTGGAAGAATCTCACCAAAACAAATCCCCAAGATTCTGCACCATCCGTCCCCATTCACACCTTCCAAAAGGGAACGGTCTGCTTGCCCCACACCGAACCACTGAAACCCAAGATCACCCACACCGAACCTTCCATGCGGACCTCGATCAACCTCAACTTCGATTCTTCCAACGTCCGGGACGTGCCCGTCCGATCACGGAACCCCGCCGACTCGTCACCACCCGTTCGTCGCTTTGTTCGTCGCGCGGTCGAGCTTCTTGAGGTCCATAATCTCAGGCACCGCCTCGATGACCATGTCCACGTCCTGGTGCCAGATTCTCATGGGATGCATGGGAGGGATGCATTGTTCTATATTTACATCAACGAGGGATGGCACGGGTATAGGGGAGTGGGAGAGTGGCATCATCGGATGCATGACAATCCTTGCAGGACTTGCATGACAATCCTTCGTTTGGTTGTTAGGACGAGTTTACTGTACCGCAATGACTTGTTATACGGACCACTTGCCTACAACATCCACAACTGGGGCTTTCAGCCACGTTGTGACCGATCCATTTTCAAGTGCCAGGTGGTCGAAAGATGTCGAAAGTACCGGTGGGACCCAGGCTTCCAAAGCAATGGGCTTCACGGGATGTTTGTTCTTTAGGTCAACGGCGGATTCGGAAACTAGAACCGCGGATTCGGAAACTAGGGCGGCCACGGATTCAAAAACGCCGGTTCGGAAACTGGGATTTGGAAACTAGAAGGAGAGCAAATTCGGAAACTAGAACGAGGGCGGATGCGGAAACTAGGATTCGGAAACTAGAACGGGTCTGAATCGGATAGTTTCTGAATCGGGTCTGTGGAATACGAATATGTCCACGCTACATCAACACAAACATTTCGTTAGATTCCCACCGCCCCCACCACCCAGTTTCTGAATCGGGACACCCTGTAGTTTCTGAATCGTAGTTTCTGAATCGGAGATAGTTTCTGAATTGTCTTCTGTTCTTGTTTTCTTGTTCTTTACACCAACATCAGGTGTGCATCATGGTGTGACAAAAGGTGGCTCAGTGGATCAGTATATGCACACATATGCATATATTGCATCATATGATTCATATGTGTTGTGTTCATTTGTTGCATGGCGAACTGTTTTACTGGGTTGATGTGTAAAAACATGAGAAGAACAAAATGAAGATCACGATAAATATGACGATCCAAACAGGAATGCCAAGAGAAAATCTGGTGAAAGTCCCACAGATCAGATCCGAGGTCTACAGACCCATGCAGGTGAGCTGATAGAGCCCAAAACAGCAACCAACCACATCCTTTTCGCATCTCTTTCTCTCGAAGCAAAGCTTGTAGGTCAATGCGACGCCATTCTTCACCTGCAAGGTCTTGTTGGGATGGAATGTTTGCCAACATGAACTCGTAGCCGCAAGCACTTGCCTGGTGTCGGTTGATACAACGAGAAATGCTCCGATCGCTGATGCCGAGCGCACTGGCAGCGTTGCGTATAGATGGATGGCTTGTCCAGTATTTGCTGTCCTTAAGCTTGCTCAGCACTGGTGTGCAGTTGATACTGTTCCTGATGCCTGTAGCTGCATAAAAGTGGGCCATGTTCTCAGACTGCGTTACATACTCCAAGTTTTCAGCTGCGTTGTTTCCCTTGTCCAAGTCTTTGTGGTTAACATAGCCTGCATGCATAGAGACAGGTGGCCCCAGAAATGCAAACGCCACAAGACGATGGACCAATTCAGTTCGTCTGTGCGATGTCAAGCAAATGCCAGTCCTGTAGTACCCAGACTTCTCCAAGCATCCCTGAGATATCAAACCATGTTTGTTCTTGATCCTCCCGAGTGAGCTCACCATCCTTCCTGGCACTTTCAGACCCAACATCGGATCATACATTTGCCGCCACTCTTCTCCTTCCAGTGTTCCTATCTGGCCACCGTCTGCAAATTGAAACTCATAGCCTTTCACTGATTTGCTGCTGCGGCAAGCGTGGGAGACTGACCACTGGCTCATAAAAAGCTCTGCCGCTGCTTGCCTCATTGATGGAGAGGTGGTCCAGCTTTGGGACCCCACTGCTCTCCACATCACAGGCTTGGAGCTCTTAGTTCCCCCAGAACGCCTCGAGAGGCTTGCAAAGGAGGCAAGGGTGTTTTGGCTCTGAGTAATATATTCCAAGTTGTCCAACCGATTGTTGGCTTTGTTGCCATCCCGATGATGCACTTGCCATGTTAAGTCATCAGGTGGAGGACCAAGAAAAGCCAAGGCCACGATGCGATGGACAAAAAAGTCATGATTTGAAACCTTGACCATGCAGTAGCCGGATGGCCTCAAAGATCCATGGGAGACCTCCCTTTTGGTGTTGCACACCCGACCATAGGAACTCACCTGCCAGCACCTCTCAACTTCGACACTCTGGGTGGTTCGACTGGCCATGTATCTAAAGCTATCCAAAATGCAAAACATTCGCCCACCCAAGCAGCTTCGCCACGTTTGACCGACAGCCTTTCGAATGACCTCCATGATGTCATTTCGTCGGCGCCATTCATTTGGAGCTGATATGGCAGCCAAGTACTACGCCCATGGGAGGGAAATGGGATTTATCAGAACATGCCTACGATCTTCATCCTCTACCCCATGACAACACAGAGTTCCGGTTTCTGCACTGGCCTTGAAGTCTGCGAAGTCCAAGGTGGGCTTCAGCAAGCTGTGGTACCTCAGTACAGCAAATTGTCAAACAATCATTGCTTGGAGCGTGGGAAGCTTTGGTGAACTGTGGTTCGAATGTTGCACTTTTCAACATCTAGACAACTGTGTGCTTGCTTAACCTTCATTTGGTTAGAAAGCCATTGAAAAAGAACATTCATTCTGCACTGTTGGACCTTCAATGGCAGTGATGGTGCTGCGTCTTTTGCAGAAACTCTAAGGATAATACAAGTATATAGTGTAGTTTCGAGTATCAATAACAATCAGCTCTGTTTTGCTGCAAACAACATTGATTCTTTAGATGTGTGATGGCAGCACTTTTATTATGTCTTTGCTTCCCCTTGAGGCATGGATCAAATCAATTTCCTCGGTGGACTTGGGGTTCCCCATTCGGAGTCGTCCTCACATTGGAGGCCTCGTTTTCATGAACAATGTCCAACGGAGCGGTTCATGTCTGTCAAAACAGGGTGTCCAACATCAAACATGGAACAACCCCTTTGGCAAGCCTTGCCTCGACCCAGTCAGCAAGTCCATGAACACGCGTCTGGAAGATTGGTCTTTTGTGTGAGCCAGTTAATCAGCAAAGGGCTGCATCGTCTTCCAAAATGTTCAGAACTTTCTTGGGTTGATGGTCGTACTGATAGAAGCCAGTCTGTAACTATCAAGAATCAAGATGTCCTTGCTGATTGGCCACCAGCATATCCTTTGCTCATCCTTTTTCTCTTTCCCTTGCTCCGTCCAATATCCAAAAGCGGAAAGCCCCAAAAAAACGACTCCAAGCTGCTGGGAAAGCCAAAAAAAGAACGACTCCAAGCTGCTGATTGTACTTGTCCTTGCTCAACTTGCCCTTCTTCAAGCGGCCAGCCCACAGGGAGTCGATCTTCTTCACGCCGCCATCCAGCCACTCCTGCCGTGTGGAGCATCGCACGGCAGCAGCCACAAAGCAGCTGCTACGAGACAGTGGAAGATGTGGAGCTTGTATAAGCTCATCAAGTGATGCAACCAAGGAGAGCTTTATGAGATGAGACCTTTAGTTGTGAGCTCATATAGCTCATATAAGCTCAATAAGCTCACCACAAGTGCAAGTGAGTCGTGCCTACCACTCCAACCCATGGAAATGACATTTGGGTAGTAGATTAGCCCCGTCTACCAACCCTCACCAGTACGGAAGGCCTGACCAGACGCAGACGCAGACAGCTATCAGACTTGGTGTGGTCCCTCATGGTCCCTCAGAGTCCCTCAGTCCCACCTGCTTGGCATCCTTTAGCACGACAGGGATGCCCTTCTGAATGAAGCACATCGCAATGCCGCCACCCATCCTCAAAGGACGACTCATACCGAAGACGAATACGGAGACGAAAGGCTGGGGAATCACAGTGCGGCATGCAGGCGTGGCAGCCACGTGCGCATTCAACCACGATGTAGTATATATATATTATGTTTTACATATTCAATTTGCTATCGTGAACCATCATCAATCATCAACCAAGAATGTTGAAACTGAACGTAAAGACATATCATAATATCATAGAAAATCATAGAAATATCAATTGAATTGGTTTGGGTCCAGTGCCTGCTCAAAAAAAAGATGCCAATTGCTGATCGCGAGTTGTGAACCTGTTCAATCACTGCAATTCATCGGTCATCAAATGAAATCTCCTAAATACAGGTACCACATGGTACCATAAGGCAGGCTGTATCTAGCCTCCTTGATCAACTGCCCCTGAGCAATCGAGCCCCCCTCGAGCCTTGTCAGCGGCTTGTGAACTGTCCAAAAATGTCGACGGGGGGATGTTGCAGCTGCCAGTTCCAAGATCTTTATGATCATCCACTATGATTCACCGCACCCTTCTTCGTCTCCCCACCTCTTCCCCCATCTCTAGGCTCCAAACAAATAAGTATGCTTAAAAACAGGCTGCCCATCTCCACCAGGACCATCCTGTCTGGGTGTCCTGGTTGGACTACCCTACTATTTTTCCGGGATCTCCAAAGTCGGACGCCCAGGAGCATCCGGATGCTGGCGAAACCCATGATAAACCACACCATGTCTGCGTACGGAAACATGTTGCATCTTCTTAAATTCTTCTCCCAGCGGCAAGCCAGCACCGAGGATGCCGATCTTATTCAAGGGCAACGGCTTCTCATCCACGCCGGGCACCTTCTGCGCCAGGCGCTCGGACAAGAACAGGTGCCGCAAGGCAGCGCTCTCCACGGAGAAGACGAGCTTGGTGAACTCCTCTTGCTCCACCTGAGCTGCACGGTGGGTTTTGGAAGACAGATTGACAAAGAAAACGGTGGTTGAACCAAGCAACAACCTCAGAAGTGAGCCTTGAAGATGGGATGACGGACGGTATGAGAGGGGGGTGAATCCTCCATGAACCTGATGGAAGTCCAAAAGTCCAATTCACCTTTCAACGGCTGGGTTTACACTCCCTCGAACTAACATGGAAGTGGAGAATGGCCCCTTGGAAGACCATTTTCCTCTACAAACAGGGGGTTGTTCACTTCCATGTTAGTTGCAGGGAGAGTATTGTTCTAAATAGGTCCTGGGAAAGCCTGGTGGACCTTTGAATAGCCTGGTATGATCATGAATGATCACATTTGTACGTTGCTTGGGGAGCGTTGACATGTCCCTGCCTTGAGCCCATCACGGAAGGGCTTGCCGCTGCAAGCAGCCTCGAAGCACTTGATGATGGACCTGCAACATGCTGCGGCAAATGATTCTGACTAGAGCGATCCTCACTGTAATTCCTGTTCATGGGGGGGAAACAATCTGGTGTGACTCAAGCACTACGGTTGAGTACGACTCACTGAGCACGTGTGCTCATGTCCAACAGAATTATGATACGTATGGCTTTCATTTTGTTTTTTCACTCCTCAAAATCCAGTGGCTTCTGCCTTCAGCTTCTGCACTGCCTGAAACACCCAACTGCCCGAACGATCTCTCCCGCCTGGGCGCAATCATCAGGGGCGCGGCGTTCACGGCGGTGTTGAGCCCTTGCTCCAGTCCACCTGCGGCCACCATAAACCTGCCGAAGATCGAGCACATGGCGGCGTTGAAAAACGGAAGCCCGAACGGAACGGATGGAGTGAAAATGCATGGAACAAGAACAAGTCGTGGCTCGTTTTTCGCGGTTTGGGCCGGGAGGGAAACCATGAAAATTCATGGGAAATCTCCAGTTCCTGATCTTGGGATCGAAATGAGTTCTCTTGACTGTCCAATGCTCTTTTTGGCCTTTGGGTAGATCTGCATGGACTCATCAGCTGTCGTGACAAAAGTCCACAATATCATTCAGCCAGGAGGATTTCCATGGCATCTTTGAGGGGTGCACTCTGGATTCACCTCGTGCCCCAATAGCCACCGTCCAGGCCAGGACCGCCCAGTGTCTTGGGGTGTGGTCAGGTTCCGCTATTTTTTGCATGGACATTTGGAGATGGCTTCTTGTTACTGGTAGTGAGAATGCTCCTAGTAGCGATGCCAGGAGCCCCCAGTAGCGTCCTTGCTCCTAGTTACCTGGAAACATTTGACCTAATGTCCCCTGACGGCATGCCCAATGTAATTACCCACCTCACCTAATCAGGGCCAAGGCTGAGTTCCAACCGATGGGCTTAACAAATCGCCCCCTGTGGTCCCCTAAACCCCAACACCAAATCCCCAACACCAAACCCAACTCTGGATCACCACATTAGCCGCTGCACGAACCAGTCCCTGCGCGCGTGCATGTGCTCTCCATCGCTAGACCGACGCCCCCCCCGCGGTGCCGCACCTGTTGGTCTTATGGACCTCCCGTTTGGAGATGGGTGCAGGTGGATGGCTCAGTGCCCATTCAGCTGCTTCCTCCGGTGCCACCGTGGCCACCGTCGGTGTGCGGTGACAGATGGTGTGACAGGGGTCTCCCAGGTGGTGTTCGGTTCACCACATGCAAACCAGCAGCTGCTGCAGCTGGGTACTGGTGAATCTAAGTAGTTGTAGTGATCGCATACGGATGCCACTGGAAATATATTAACTAATATTAACTATAAATGCATCATAGTGGATCGTATATATATATATATTGCATATCATTGCATATCATTGCATTCTTACTAATTTGAAGATGGGTCACAATCACAATTAAATAATCCTCATTGAAGATAGGTGATCACCCCAGAGCCTCGATGAGATCCTTGCTGGCCACCAGGTCCACGATACCATTCCTCGTTCGGGAGCGGAACAAGCGAAGGTGATGGATCGATTCACCTGGTCTACAAGGGCATGGATGTCATCCCAAGGGCTTCGGATGTCCCAACTATGGGTCTCATATCTACGTAGCTCCTGGCCTTACTACTATAGTAGCAAGAAACTATTAGGAGCAAGGGCATCGCTACTAGTGACAAAGGGCACTACTGCTAGTAGCATTCTTACTACTAGCAAAAAGAAGCTATTAGACATCACAACTATGGGTATCTATGGGTCTCATATGTGCTGTGCTTTTTAAATGAGTTGGAGTCATAGGTTTGAACATCACGGATGGTGGTGGAAAGATGTAGAAGATCAATCTCGGTGTTCCTCTACCACTCATTCATGCTGACACCGATGGGTCACTGATGGTCACGGACGTTGTGAGACCGGACAGTGTGACCACTCTTGGTCTTCCTAACTCTCTCTCTCTCTCTCTAGTATAAAGTTCCAGGGGTCACATGTCCGGGTGGATCATCTGCACCCCCCCAAACACCTCGCATGGGCATCCCGCCATGGAAACCGTGTTGGAAACACGTGGGTTGACCATGTGGTGAGGGAAGAAGACATGCGGCCACCATTTGGGAGGTTGTCCGAGCATTTGGAACTGTATTCGTTCGAGTACGAAAGGTCTCCTTTGAGGGTATGTAAAGAATCTTCACCGATCCTTTGACTTTCTGGTTGTCTTTTAACTTTAACATCTTTCACTTCATGAAGTACCTCCACCCAAAATCGTTGCTTCAGCCCCTACTAGACCAGGACGACCACCACTGTTTTCCCGGGCCGGGCGGCTTCTTCGCGGCCTGGGCATTGAGCGGATTGCCCTGGAGGATCATGGACATGGCCGTGGGCAGCGGTGCCACACGAGGCAAGCGCTGAGTGCCCTGTGCGCCGGGCAACAGACCCAACTTCACCTGCCGTGTCGTGGCGACGAAGTTGCTGACACCCGGGTTTCGTGGCGTGGGAGGGGCTTTCTGTGCTGAAATCCAGCAGAAGGGGCGAAAGGGTGAAAGGGGCTCAGCATGTTCGAAAGGGTCCACTTCGGCGATGCAAGGCCAATGTTCTTGGGTCGTTGACACCAAAGCCACCTGGCGCAGCCATTGGCCCAAATCCGCTAGAATCTCCCAGAATTGATTTGCAAAGGCCTTAGCAATTGATTTGGCCCAAATCCTTAGCCCAGACCACTAATTGATTTAGCCCAGCCTTGGCCTTTGTGGTCTTGGCTAGCCTCCCAAAACATGGTGCAGTGCCCACCACCACAGACCCCGAGATAGGCCCAGGCCGCCGAGATAGGCCCAGGCGCTCTGCAAAGACCGGGCGAACTGGACCCCACCTGGTCTAAAATGTCTAAAGGCACATGAACACCAATGCATGTTGCCTGGACAGTCCTCTTCAGACCACAGAAATGGAGTACAAACGAAGCCTGTGTGTTTCCCCGTCCAGATGTGGAGCTCAAGAACAGCTGCCTCACAAACACGCCGGGCAAATGTTAGTGTGTCTAAAGAAATTGTGAGTGTGTCTTAAGAAATAGGATCCTAGCCCTGAAAGTTATTAACCTCACTCGCGGCACACTGAAAATATCCCAGAATCGCAAGAATCCCACCTGTGCCTCCACATACCACTGCGAAACCCTCAGGACCTCAGAACCGAGTACAAACTGCCTGGAATCCTCAACTCAGCGTTTTCAGGCCGTACCCGTACCACTTTTTCGGGATATACCAGTGAAGGACGACCCCTGCATCCACCTGCCATCCACCGTCCTCGGACGTTCGGCCTCTGGGAAGCCCACCGAGGACTTGGCCGAGGCCACGCGATAGTGGCAGGCCAGGCTCACTTCCTGAGGGCCACCGTTGCGGAGATAGCAAGGCCTCCACCGTTGGACGTGTTTGGTGCATATAGCAAAACATTGTTATAAGATATATATATATATTATATTATGTGCAATGGAACAGAACCACAATGGAACATCAAGAATGGAACCAATTGTTTTTCGTCCATGAAGCAGACGGTCGGCAAGGTCTGCCAGATGGTGCTGTCATGTCTGACATTGGTGCTGTTCACCTGTTCTGCTCATCTATTGGCTTCTATCAAATGGTTTGCTTGCTATGTTGAGCAGAGAGAGTGAACAGGTACTGATTCACTGCTTGGAATAATGCACATGTGAGTGGCAAGTATGCAACAAAAACATACAAAAACAAAGAGGAACAATATGAAGGTACAGCAAATCATAATCATGTATGTGTTCAAAACAGGAAACGACAAACAACTCAACAAAATGGCAAAGACCAGAACTATCAAGAAAACATAAGCAACTGTGACTGTGACCTTCTCAAAAGAAAATAGTTAAAATACGCGTTCTCATTTCACCCCAAGCCAATTTGCCTTAGCCCTATAGCAATATTAAAACAACAATAAAAACATAGTAAATTCTGTGCATTCCCGACAATCAGCGGAATAATCTGCCAGAACACCCCAGAACCACGACTGCACGTGCTTTTCATGGACTTGTCAAGCTTCTGTGTATCCTCTCTAGATCTGCCTATATCCTGCAATGATCTGCAATGCATGTATTTCGTTTGATCATGATCTATATGACTCCTAAGCCTCTCCCGGCCCACTTCCCGCTCACTCCCAGGCCAAAGGCGCTCCGCCACCTCCCAGAGCTGGGCCGTTGAGAGCAGCCACCACGGTCTTGGGCGAGGCATCGATCATGTCCATCATCTCGCTCAAGGCCGCCACCGGGTTGTTCTCCTGCGCGGTCCGGTCGACCCGGTCGCGGTCCGGTCTTCTCCAGCTCGTGGACACGATAGGAGGTTGACCCGACAAAAACGTCCCAAGGATGCGGCAATGTGGATGGGCATGACCCCAAAGAGATGAGCATGTTCCGAACACGGAAGTTGGGGGGATTGTCCACTGATGTCCACTGCCATGATTCTTTCAATGAGTAATGTAGGTCCAAGAACTGCCAGGCAGGGGAAGTGCCGAGCGACGGGCAACGAGGGATGAGTATTCAGGTGTTCTTCAGATTTGACTCACCATAAGCTTCGCATAAACCTTCCCCACGCGCCAGCAACATGGGACACTCAACCCCTCCGGCCAATCCGGGTCATGTTGGGTTGAAGCCCAGAATGAATGGCCCAAGACTCTCGAAGTGGAGTCAACTCATAGTGCGTCCTAAAAGATCCTAAGTGTGGAGTACACCCTGGTTCCGAGACCCACATGGAACCTGAAAACCACGCCCGGTTTGTAGAGGAAGTCTGGCCTTCCAGTCCGGTCCATGCCATCGGGTTCCATGTGGGTCTCTTCCCGAGGTACATAGAGCAGCGAATCTCCCTGCAAGAAAACCATCTCTGGCCATCTGTTCACTTCTCAAGTTGGTGACCCTCTTCCTTATTATTCCTTTCATTGGACATCGATGTCTCAGATGTCCCTGGGCCGGCAGGGCCGTGGCCTTCATCTTCTCAGGGCCCATGGCCACCATGATCGCAAACTCTGTGATCTCAGCACCTGCACCCGAGACCAGACTCCAGCCAAGTCGGCCAGGTGGCCTTTTGGAGGTGCCAAACAAAAGTGGCGAAGCACCTGTGGGTGATGTATCATTGGATAGTTCAGTCTACTGTAAATATTGATATGGAGTGTCTATACAGTACATAGACTCTACTGCGGCAAATCCAAGTTGAACAACCCGGCAAAACCAGATTGCCTGCTTTCCACCCACCAGCCCAATCCATTCCAAGACGTTCTTCCCTTCCACCCTTCTTCTCCTTAGATCCACTCGTTCCGCACTCCGATCTTCGCTTCCAAGCGGAACCGTCGTCTGCCCAAACCGCGGCTGCGGCCGAAATGGCTGCGATGGCTGCGGCCTCCGCAGAACATGTTGCCTTTGCCGGTGACCACGATGGCCTTCACCTTGGGATCGCTGACCAACTTGGGGAACTCCTGTGCCGGTCGTCTCCGAGCAAAGCGCCGAGTCGTCTCGGGCGTTGGGATGAGGATGGAGGTGGGTGGTTTGATGCTTGGGCGCCCCGCAGAGACCTTCGGAAAGGAAGGGGAACGGGGGAAGGAGGGTATAACTGGGTATAATTTGGTGGCGTTTTTTTGCTGCGGAGCTTCCTTCTGGAACGTGTCGAAATACACCTGGCAAATTGACTTGCTTTTTGATGTTGTTGTTTCAAAGTGAGGGCAGCCCCCGCATCTCCGATGAAATCATTCCCTCATGCCATTGTCCATCCATGTCACCGCTAAATTTAGGACAAGCAAAACAGCACGTGACCACGTGGTGGCCAGGTCTTGGAATTGAATTCATGGGAACAAGTTCTGCACCGTCTCAGACCCTTGGGTCAATGCCACAAAACTTCTGTGTGACTGCGATTCATCCAGGTTGTTCCGTTCTTGTAAACAGTCTCACACTGTTTACCCCCTGTCCCCGGGCTCCCCCGGCTCATCCTGCTTGAAAGAGGTCACCAATTCTGTGCCCAGCGAATTCCTCAGCGCTTCTGTGTACAAGTCATTCGCCCAAACAGATCGAGGCTGATCTTGATAACTTTTCCACGGACCAAATCAGAATGGACACACCAATCACTATCAAACACCGTAGGCTGATTGATGTCTCAGCTACTGACCCATACTATACCGTCTTTGAGTTTTGGTCTTTTACCATCCGTCAAACATGTCAAAACAATTACTGTGCTGTAAACAACAAAAACTACAGAAACGGTCATCATGAGTCCTAGACCATTCTCGATCTCAAACGTGGCCCAATTTTTGAGCCACTTTGTGCTGTAGCTCTTTCTTGTACGAACCCGAACTTCTGGAATGGTCTTCCAGTGTTGGAGCAGAGTTTCCATCAGCGATCAGCAAAAAGTAATCGGAACATTGAAATTCTGGGGATATATATATATATATACCATCACGCACTGTTGTTATGGTATTGGCCCGACTCGGAAACCGGAACAAAGAACGAGAGTCAACTCCACCCGGCATGTCCGGAGGGTCCTCCGGTGCAGTTTCAAAACCGGGAGACGGTGTTGGTCTATGTTCCGAATCTTCCACCGGATTTTTAAAAAAACTGGGAGCTCTTCCTCTTTCAATACACCCCATGGCTGTTAGGTTGGAGGCCATTCCTACTATAGTAGCTAAGAAGCTACTAGTACATGTCTCAGCTAGAAGGAAAAACACCCATGTGTTCTTTGAAGCTGCAGCTCCGCCCAGCCCCGCCCGGCTCCGCTCCGTCTAGTCACACTGGAGGGCTGTCCATGGTGATGACACCCACACCATCAGGACGGACGTTGATCGTGGCTGGCATGGCCGCTGCGAAGAGATACTGGGACGCTACTGGTGAGCTGAAGGCTTTAAAAGAGCTCGAGCCCAAAGGTCCAATGATGAACATGCAGCATGCAGGAAAATAATGTTTTAAACAATAAATGCGGTGGGCAAATCATCAGGTGTGGTGATGAATTGTCAGATGCTGAACAAGCATCGTTGAACATGTTGCACACAGCTTGCTGTCACGATCGGTCGTGACGGAGCCCGTTTCATGTGGCATGTGGAGCTGCCACGCTCGGTGAAATCAGCCAGTTTGGCTCAAGAACCTGGATGCTCCTCCCCTCAAGTACAGTTGAACCCTTCAAATTCCTGGACTGGGATGAGCCTAGAGTGACACCACTAGGGCAGTGAATCAAAAGCATTCAAGAGTCGCTTCACATCATTTTGCTGGGTCACAAAAATACGCCACAGCATGCCGGAAGTTCTGACCCTACAATATGACCGCGTTCTACTTTGACATCAGAAAACGTTTTCATCCGACTTGTCAACTCTCCACCTCAGGGCCTAACCAAACGAAAACCTGACCGCAGAACCCGACTCTTCAACCGAACACCGAAGCGCCGCGAACACCGAAGCGCCGCGCTCGGCGCCCCGGGGGGGGTGGTTCGGTGTCCACCGAAGATTCGATGGTCCAATGGTAAGGTCACTTGCTTCAAGAGTGGAGCTACTGGTAATGCCCTTGTTACGAGTAGATGGTCAATGGTCACTTTCTTCAAGATCTCCATCACCTCAGGGAACTCCGTGACGTCCACGTCCTCGTAACCCCGCGACGCCCGCGCGAGTGTCGCGAACGAAACGAAGGGCCGTGCCGCGCATCTCCACGCCGTTTCTCCAAACAAGAAGGAGGGTGAAGCTGGCTTATGTTCTGAAGAGTTTCTTTTTATGTCAGTTTGCTCTTGGGTCCTGCCTTTTCATGCTCTTTGTCTCCCGGTTGGTCCGTTCCTTTTAATGCATGCTGTGCTTGCTGTGTTTGCTTGAAGTTGCTGGATTCTCCTTGTGTTTTCGAAGTTCCTGTCAAGTGTCACAAGAGTCACACATCATAACAGGCTGTTAGGGTTATTTATTTAGGCAGTTCCTCCATCACCTGACCTGACTAGTTCAAACAGCGAAGGAAGCCAGAACAGGATCATCTTCATGGCTGGTCATTCACAAACAGTTTTCATGTCAACGCGGGCATGTTTATGGGTGAACCATGTGGGTGTTTGTAAATGATTTTAAAGCTGGAAGTCCGCCAATCAGAATTATACGCAGTCTAAGGAGAAAGACAAAGTACAAACAGCAATTACTGATAAGGAAACCTTTGTCGGAGTGTAGTTAGTTGGGTGTGTGATGGTGTGGGTAAGACATGGTTGACATCCAGGAAAAGTCTTCTCAAGGATTTGACCGGCCCACACCTATGTCGAGTCCCTGCTAAATAGGAAGTGTTTGGCACAACTGATGCTCATTCCCACCTGGTCGTTGCGAAGGGTTGGAGACCACCCAAGCTACGGAGAAACATCAACCAAACCACCCGGACCCAAGCACGACCTGAAGAAGAATTCCAGCACTCACTCCAGCGGCCCGGCATGGACTCACTCCACTGGCTTCCTGTTGCAGTGCTTCGGGTTTGGTCGCCTGGTGACCTTCGACCCATCCGAATCCTCGCGCGAACACACCCTCCTCTGCATCGGTCTCAGCTCTGACCTCAGAGGGTCATGAAATCAGTGCAACAGCACTGATGTTCTTTGAAGTGTTGGATGGAAACATCATGAAAGAAACCAACCTGTGCAAGAATCTAGATCTATATATTCGTCTATTCGTGAACATTTGGCCATGCTCACTCTGTTTTTTGTTCCAACTCTGTGAACTCCTCATCGCTACAGAGTGGTCAAGGCTGGGGGATCCATCCGGTTGAGCGGTTTGGAGCCGTAAAACAGGCCGTTGGCAAGTTGGACTAAAACCAGCTAATATATGTATTAAATTGTACTAATATATGTATTGAGTTTAAAATACTTGCTGGTCTTTGATTGTTGAGGGTCTGTGAACAGTATCTATATAGTCCATGACACACCCCAAACAAACACGCGACCATCCATTTCATTTAGCAATCCCGGCAATCCCAGTTGTAGGAGTTGCCAGTTGACTGGGCCGTTCCACTTAACCAGTCTGAGGAAGATCGGCTGTCACTGGTGAAGATCGAGGTTCGGGGTTCGGGGCTTCGTCGTGTTCCGTGGGGGAAGCCCAGGAATTCTGGGCTTCGAGTTCGCTCTCTTAGTGTCCTCCACAGGGCTATCATGGGCTATGTATAGTCGTGTTTAGTTTTCTTTTATACTACTGGAGGGTGTAAAAGGGCGTGTTTCGAAGCTGACCGGATATTCAAGAGAGCGAATGGGATGCTGGAGCTGGGTCGAATCACATTCGCCAGACGGCTCAATTCGGATTCGCCAGACCCCGAATCAGAAGGTATCTTCTGTGATTGAATGCGACCCTCAAACCAGCGCAACATCGCCATGAAGTTTCCAACTACCCTCCCTGAAACAATCATGGAAGTGGAATACAGCCTGTTCATAAAGGAATTCAGTCTTCCAAGGGTCCTTGTTCCACTTCCATGTTTGTTGGATGGAGCGTATAAGTCCGTTCCGACCTTCTCAACCATCTCGACCATCCCGCTCGGGCAGGCTCACCACAACCATGCACACGTCCAAGCCAACTGCGTCTCAACTACAGTATCACAAACATCCGCTCGACACACCGTTCAACTTTGCTTGCATTGTCTACCGCCACAAGACTTGGGCTGGCTTGCATCCAGCGAGTCTTGATCATCTTTGCGCACCGCTCCAGTCATCAATGTTCACTCTTCCTGCAACAGAGCCAAGTTTGATACCTGAAAAATCCAGGTGGCGATTTCGCCACAAACCACAGAGCTCCAATCGCCCCAAGCACCGACCTTCGACGTTCGGTCCCCGCGTAACTACAGTACTTTTGTTCAGGGCGAACGACACACGAAGCGCTTCGACTCGGCGTGTCTCGACTCGACGATCTCCCGATCGCTGGCTTGGGGCAACGACTTTTCCACACGCGGCGAAAGCGCTGGAATGCAGCGCAATCCTTCACTTCAGCCAGGACAGGAATGATCGACAGCTCAGGGTCCAAATGACTCCACTCACCGCACAAGTATCACTCACCGCATCTACAGCGACCATCCCTTTTTCGTCCCGCACACCACAACCATCGAGCTTGCATCCAAGCAAGGTCTGATAATGCTCAATGGTCGCTGATTCTGGAAGGGCGACGCTGATTTCGCAAGAAACTCACTCGGCATTCTTGTTTCCATTTGAGGAGGCTACGGCTACCAATCTTTGACTCCTCTGCACTCTTGTGCAACAGGTGCAAACTCTGACTCTTCTCCAGCCCTGCGTCTAACTTTTGGAAGGCCTTTCACAGTGTTTCGCAGAACTTTTCAGGTTCACCCGCACCCCCGCACCCCGAAGACTCACAAAGCGCAGAATCAAAGCCAGCACAACAATTGTGTCTCGGAGATGATCTTCAGTTTTACACTCCCGAAACTAACACTCTCAAAGACTCAAAGACTGTTATTTTCTCTACGAAACAGTGGTTTTCAGGGTCTATGTGGTTTTTTGGGTGGGGTAATATTTTCAATAGTAGTGCTGCTAATGGAAAATAGCCTACGTCACCCCAAGCCCTGAACAAAGGGGTTGCTTTGAACTTTGAACAGCCGCCAAAGCATCATAAAACACCCCCAAGCCGGAAATGGTGAATGGATGTATGACCGGCATATCGGCGTTGGTGCGACACCCAATCTCGTCCATATCCACAGCCAAACCCCATTTTGTTTGCTTCTTGTTTCCTCCCCAGCCCAGCCCGGACTGAAAGAGGCAAAGAGGCGACCATTTTTCGTGCAGATCTGGAGAGCCCTAGCCGCCCTAGCCACAGACGCATTCGGGTTGACATGTTCTTTGAGAATTCTTTTGACATTCCCTTCGCATGGTTGTCTTCTCGTCAAAAACACTGTCTGCCTTGATTCAGAGCATCTCATCTACCCCCAAGAGTTGAAGAGCCCTGACCAAGAACGTGCAGAAAATTGATCCAGTTTTATATGTTTAACGTCATTTGGACCAAAGAACCCGAACCCAGCACACATGTGACACGGTTGTAGATGTTAACCAATTAGGGCAGTGGACTCTGTGTCATTAGTTTCAAATCGTTTTCTAAACAGGAAACGGTTCAAAATCGAATCTACGTATTAAAGGTTTCAATCACAAACAAAAGAAATGTCTTAACAAGATTGGTTCAACATGTGTGGAACAAACCTCAAGTTATTGAAAAATGAATCAGGATTTTGTCCAACCTGGTTGATTTTGAGTGTCGACGTTGTTGTGCCAGTCAACAGTCCAAAAGATTGTAAGACGGAACAAGTGAACTCTACGACGATATATTTGGCGGATTCGGTGAATCCTGCAGTTGGGGTAAAATTGCCGCCTTGAATTTCATCGTCTATGAGGGAATATCTGGTTGGTTGGCAATCACCACAATATGTGAAACACCTATAGCAATCACCAGGTTTAGCAACAACTTTTTACCTCGGCAGGAATATCAAGGGCAGTTCTTGATCCAAAAGGCAATGGGTTACTGACACGAGCTTCCCCCCAATGCTTACTTATATAGCCCAACGTCAACAAACATTCAACTCAAACTCCAGCCAAGCTAAAGCACCCTGCCTCTCACACCTCCGCAGAAAAACGTTTCTCCCACAACCTGTGCTGACAGGCAGGTGCACGAAACACAGTCTTCATTGGAGCTGTTGGAAGTAGGCGGGGCTCTGCAAGAGGGCCCCCAAGTGCACTCTAACATCAAAGCCTGGAAGACAAAAATTGCACTTGCGCTACTTGTGCCCACTACCTCCAACTCAATACTTCACAAAATGCTTCAATGCTTGAACAACATGAACCATGTGGACCACCTGATCAAAGGAGCCGCTCACAGTATCTCACACCGATCAAGATTGGTCAAGCGATGACAAGTGCAGTAGCATGTCTTTGGGAC